TTTGCATTTTGCACGGATTGATTGATGATATCATGTCAAATGGCTCATATCGATATCCCATTGTTTTTTTTGTAATGAATTGATTTTGTGATGTGCATACTTGATTAAGATAGAGTACCTAATTAAATAATACATGCATATGGGATATTAAATGATGTCACATTCCCATCAACGGTTGAGCCAGAAATGTAGTGTAATGGGAGTGTAAGGCTTGAACATGATATATCCGATGGGTCAAAAGTTTAAAAGATCAAAACACTTGTTACAGATTATAAATATTTATCATAGACAAAGTATATACATATTCCTAGCTTGGCAGATCGAGAGTGCTCGAATCCCTCCACATCTCCACCAATATTGATTGCCATTAAAGTGATAAAAAAAGATGGTTTTGTTTAGTGTTAGACCATGACACAAAGTTGATAGACGAAAATAGTGTGGTGTATTTGATGCTCGTGAGACAGGATGTATTGAAATTATATGCCAACCCAAAGTGCTCGTCTCAACCCATTAAGATGCCTTTAGGTATAGATACTCAAAATTGTGTATAAAGATGCCAACCCACACAAGATACGGTTGGTTTCCGGGCGTACGCATAATGTATGAATGTATCTGGCTGGCTATATGGCATATTATTATACGTCGGAGGAATAGTGTATGTACGGGACAAAAAATATTATGGACTGTATGACTCCCCTATAGAGTATAACAATTGTTAACTTTTATACTCCCTCCGTATTTAAATGTTCCCTACGCTTTTCTTTTTGGGATGTATTTAAAACTTCTATACACATTCCCTTTTTGATAAGTTTTTCCCTTTATAAATACTCAATTACCCTTATTTTTTCTACCTATTATCCTCTATTTCTTACTTTTTCATCTTATCTACTACTTTTTATATACTATTCATTACCCTTACTATTCTACCTTAAATCTTGTGCCATAACCAAATGTAGCGATCTTTGAAATACGGAGGGAGTAGTAGATTCATACCGGAGAAACCTATTACCTATTTCATACGGAGTAAATGATTGATTGTGATGATGTCACATGTGCTATATGACTCCACAGTGGGGTCATATGGGACTCCATAAATTTTCCCGAGAGTTTTTTCCACTTTTAGTTCTCCGACTAGTATGTCATTGACACTTTTGGTACTCGACTTTGATTTTTCCACTTTTAATGCTCGACTCTTGCACCAAAGACACTTTTGGTACCCATCTTTGATAATTTATGTTATTAGTCCTCTGACTTTCATAAAAGTGACACTTTTGGTCCTTCAACTATTATAAAAATGTCATTTATAGTCCTCCACTTATTGTGTCAAAATCATAGTGGGAGGACTAAAAATGTCAATTTGATAATACTCAGGAGACCAAATGTTGAAAACTTCGAAGTCGAGAACTAAAAGTGACCCTAGAAGGCTAGAACAATAGTCGAGGATTAAAATTGGAAAAATTAAAAATCGAGTACCAAGAGTGTCAATAAGACAATAGACAGAGGATTAAAAATGGAAGAAACTTAATTTCCCTAATTGTACGGTACCTTTTAACACTCTTCCAAATATTTATTTTATTTACTTTATATGACAGGTTAATAGTAATAAGACGATGAGAACATCTTTCTTTAAGAATAAGGGACGTAAATGACATTATTTCCATTGAGAATGAATTACTTTAGTTTTTAAATTTTAAGGATTATTAGTTAAATATATCCCAACTATTATCAAATTCACAAATTATCTTATTCTTTCACTTTTCGTAAAAAAGATTTGTACTTCAACTTTTTATCACAATTATACTTTCAATAGATGAATTAGTAAAATTTAAGAAAAATCATATTTCAATTTCATATTTTTTTCATTATTTTTAGTTCAAGTTTACTAACTTTTATTTCTTATATCTTTTTTTATACAAAACCTTTTTCACAAAGATTTTTTTACTTGTAATAAAATTAATTTTACTTATAATTAATCAACTTTTGGAGATTAACATGTGAAACATTACATAACTACAAAGATGATATTTTCACATACAACTATATAGAAAGAGTTCAAATTTTTCTAGGTAACAATAAATTATTTTAAGTAAATACTCCGTATTAGTTATTTATTAGGGTTTAATCTATTTTAGCAACTTCTATAAAAACATAAATATATTAGCTACTTAATTCACGGGTTAGTTGGAGTATCATTCTATATTAGTGTTGATATTTTATTAGAAAATTTTCAATTATAGATTAGTATACAGAATTAGTTTTTTAGGTTTGATTTAAGTTCTTGCTAATTCGTAAAGAATAAATAGAATTATAAAAATGGAAAAAACTCTTAATACTCCCCCCGTCCCAGGGAGAAGTTCCCGGGTTGACTTTCACACATTTTTAGGAAATAAAGTTACTGAGGGGTAAATTTTACTGTTTTGCACTGTTTCGACACTGTTTGGCACTGTTTCGACACTGTTTGGCACTGTTTAGCACTGTTTTAATGTAGGATAACTTTCCATCTAGGGAAATGGGAAGTTTCTTTTGGGACATCCAAATAAGGAAATTGGGAACTTCTCCCTGGAACGGAGGGAGTATAAATTTTGAAAGTCGAGTACTAAAAGTGTCACTGACTCAATAGCCGAGGGGCTGAAAATGGAAAAACATCTTAACATAAATTTTGAAACATAAAACTAGTATATAAAAAGTATTGATCTTGATAAAAATGTGTAATTTTGAAAAACAAAATATAAAAGAATAATTGTTGAAAAAGATAAAGTTTTAATCTTTTTTTGTTAAAGAATAAGGTACATTTGTGAATTTGATAATACTTTCAGATCACTTTAGAATAAGATATACGTGGTACATCACAATTTGCGGTGAATTATCTCAAATCTCCGATCTTCACCCTTGTTGCGGATAACCGTATAAGGCCCCTTTGAACAAAATTTCTGAACACACTCCGGGAGAAAGCCACCATTTTTTCCTCTAATAATTAAATACGGAGTACTAGGTATGAACCTCCATCTGACAATTAAATTTATGATTTGACATTTTAAGCAAGCCTTATAAACTTTGATGACCATTCATCATTTGAAGTACTTTTATCACACGAAAATAATACGGAGTACGTATTAGTATCATACTCCCTCCGTCCCTAATAACTTTGCCAAGTTTGACCGGCACGGGAATTAATAAAGTAAAAATTGTGTGGTTGAGGTTTGTGCAGAGGAGAGAGAATTAACTGGAACCACAAATTCTTTACTTAAATGGGAAAGTGGCAAAGTTATTGGGACACCCAAAAAAGGAAAGTTGGCAAAGTTATAAGGGACGGAGGGAGTATACTTTATTGTAATATATGGAGTAAGGAGTGTATTTCATGTTGCTTGGTGGAGTTGGTGCTGATAATTTATGAAAACGTACGTAACGTTTCCAACTTTAATTTCCATTACTGAAAGATACAGTGTACATAGAGGTGGTTTTTCGGTCAGTCTTATCAGCCAACTTTTTCACCAAACACGTAACTTTTGCTTTCACGCGCTGAATTGTGTAATAAGCAGAAAAAGTAAGGTCGGAGTTACTTTTTTGGCTATTTTGGTTGAAGTTACTGTAGATGACCATTTTGGTTACTGTAGATGACCATTTTAGCTATTTTCTTTATTTTATATTTTTATTGATAAAATATATTTTAAAAAAAAATTCTTAAATCAACAGAATTAGCCAATGTAGCCACTTCAGACAGAACTTCATAAATTTAAGCGGAATCAACCCAATCAGCCGATTTTTATGCTACCAAACGGGCCGATTATGTGTTAATGAATACTACCTCCGTCCCTTAAAATTTTGCCAAGTTTGACTGGCACGGGGATTAATAAAGTAAAAATTGTGTGGTTGAGGTTTGTGCAGAGGAGAGAGAATTAAATGGAACCACAAATTTTTTACTTAAAAGGAAAAGTGGCAAAATTAGTGGGACATCCAAAAATGGAAAGTTGACAAAGTTTTAAGGGACGGATGAAGTACTCGTAATTGATCACTCAGCTGAATTGTCGGTGGCCCGGAACTATCTAACACCACACATGCATTTCATTTGAAGTTTGGTTTCATCGTACAACTCAAATGCATGATCACGTTGTTAAGAAGCTGGCCCACGTGGGGGCTTATTCCACTTAGCTTGAACTACACTTTTATACTTTCCTTTTTTATTATACCTCCGTCCATACTTTCCCTTTTATTATATACTCCTCCATATTACATATATCTTCCCACTTTCAAAGTGGGTGAGATTAAGAATAGTGAAATAAAGTATGAATTATTGAGGGTATGATAGGAAGATGGTGAAATAATGTGATGGAATGAAGGATAAATCCAAAAAAAAATAGGTGTAGTAGTGTATTATTTTTTAAATTATTGAGGGTATGATGGGAATATTTAGAAATGGGAAGATATAAATGTTACGTCCAATAAAGGAAAGTGGAAAGATATAAATGTTACGGAGGGAGTAATTATTAAGAAAAATGAGTGTCTCGTCCAACTAATATACTCAGTAACATTGAGATATAAAGCAAGAGATGATATGATTAATAAGAAAAGTGAGTGTATCGTCCAACCAACATTGAGACATAAAGAGATGATACGATTATTAAGAAAAGTGAGTGCATGTAATTGATATTGAGAATGTTTCTACTTGGATTGTTTTCACCCTCAGACCTGACCAGACCAGATCAAACTCCATTCAGACCAGACCAGATCAAACTCCATTCAGACCAGATCAGACCTAACTAGACTTGAATAGTTATACAATACAAAAAATTCAGACATTTTTCAGACCAGACCAGACCAGATTAGACTAGATCAGACCAGACAAGACCAGAATATTTCAATCCAATTAAAAACAAATTTAAAATAAGAGTAACGTAAAAATGAATTAAAACCACATAAATCTTATTAAATTTGGTAAGAGACTTAGTAAGATAGATCCAAAAGGAAAGAGGGACAATACTTATCTTTTTTATTTTAACACCCGGAGTATAAATTAAGTAATAAACCTCCCATTCTTGAAACCATTTCACTCTTAGCTTCTCTCCTCTCTTTATTCTTCTAATATAAAAGATGGCCACTACTTCAAATCCGGCCGTGAGTTGGTGTATGAACGGTGGTGATGATTTTAGCTACGCCGACTTCTCCGAAATCGACGGCGGCGATCTTCTCATGTCATTTCTTGATGATACCCATGTCGTGGCGGAGGATTACGATGATGAAAGATTGAAGGGTGTGATCAAATCGTTGGAAGCCGAAATAGTCAACGTGGACAACGGTTTGTTTGAGGGTGGTCAACGGGGAAAGCCCCCCAAAGCCTCTCAACCGTCCGATGCCGGTCAACTCCATAGTCAAGATCTTTCGAAGATCAACGATCTGGATTTGGCAATGATGGATATGACGGGCATGGAAATGGAACCTCACTTCCCGACAACAAATGATGGCATCAACGGTTGGTATTTGGAACAGAATTGCAGGATTGAGATGGACGGTGTGGATGACGAAGAATATTGCAATGGAGTTAATTTTCAGGAGATTAGTTATCATGGATATCTTTGGCCAGAAACAAATGTCTCTGATTTTTACCTTTGAGTATCTGAGGCCAAACCAGAATTGATATTTTTCTGAATACGGTAGATTTGTCTATTTGAACTGAATGGGGAATGCATTGAAATTAAAATCAAGCTATTTGTTCCAATGAATAAATAATACTTCGTATGAATTTGTCTACTATCATGTGTACACTTGATTTTCAATATTAAAAAGAAGAAGAAAACAAGTTGAGGTTTTTGGTAAAACATTTGTAAAGCATGCAAAAGCAAGGAATCAAATGTGCTCTTTAATAGCCTAATATTAAATTAGGAATACTTTGTATTTTTGGAAACTCTCTTTATTATAAATATATCTGTCAGGTACCCTATTAGGGTAACCTTTCCCATTATTTCACATGGTATCAAGAGCTTGATTTTTTTTCCCTCTCTCTCTTCAAACCCTCGACCGATACTATGAGCTCGGCCGACTCTTCTGCCGCAGCCGGTGTTTCACAAATCACCACCATCTCCTCTTCCATGGTGACGTCCTCCTCAACTACGGCGCCGGTTCCCTCTCTCCCTACTGACGCTGCCGTAGTTCTTACCAGCGCCGCTACAACCTTGACAGCGCCGCAGCAGGTACCCCCCTCTCAACCGGCATCGGCCCTGCATACGGACTCCTCTCCGTTCGTTACAGATGGTCCTGGGACTTATTCTTTATTTCAGCAACTTCCGCCGCTGTTCCCGTGGCAGCCCCCTTCCATAACTGAACCACATGGGTTCTTTTCTACTCCTATGCCGACCACACACCCTCGGCCATGCTCAAGTCCGGGGTATTTTGGTTCCACTTTTTCTGGTGCACCTGGACTGTCTAGACCGGCAGACTCTTCACTGTTCCAGTCCCCAATGGCTGCCGTTGCACAGTCCCTCTCTCCAATCTCCAATGTTACTCAAATTGTCACAATCAAACTCAAGGCGGTTGAAGACTATATTACATGGCGCACCCAATTTGAGTCTTTTCTCGTATCTCAAGGTTTGTTTAGTTTCCTGGATGGTTCCACACAGGTACCGCCGATGTACACGGTTGATTTTAATAATCACCGAATTATTAATACTGAGTATTACCATTGGTTAAGGGTTGATCAAACCATTCGGTCCTGGATTTTTGCTACCCTTACTCGTGATGTATTAATCGATGTACATGAACTTAAACATGCTTTTGAGATTTGGGAAAGACTACAAACTCGTTTTCGTTCTGCTAGTTTGGCTCGTTCCATGGCTCTTAAACGTAACTTGACCGATATGAAAAAGAAAGAAAATCAATCCATGAAAAATTATCTCCGGGAAATTCAATATTTAGTGGGTCAATTAGCTGCCATAAACTCTCCCGTGACCCACAAAGAAATTCTTCAAATCACTCTAATGGGGCTTGGACCAGAATATGAGTCTACTATGGGAACTATTTCCCTTTTTCCGGATAATTTTCTACCAGATATTCTTCATCGGAGCCTGTTAGAAGCTGAACAACGGGTCCTCTTTCTTCGTCAACAGTCCACACCTCCTGCCTACCAGGCCTTCGGTGTTCAAGAACGTGGACCTGCACAACGTGGTGGCTGGGGTGGCCGCGGCAGAGGAGGCCGCGGCAGAGCTGGACGAGGCAGAGGCCGAGGTGGCCAGGATCAGCAACACGCTTTTGGCCAGGCATACCAGCCAGCTCACGGCCAGCAGCAGTAACCAGCACAACCTGGGAACCACCAGGCTTTCGGCCAACAACTTGGAGGGCACCAACCGAGATCTCTAAATGCAGGTTATATGAGTAATTCGGTTTTGTCAACTTTAAATGCTACTGCTATATCATTTTGTGGTACTAATGTTAAGTCTACAGGCCCTTCATCTGCTGAGGGAATCCTTGGGGCAATTCCCCCTCCCGTTGTGTGTCAAATTTGTTTTTCTGCAGGTCATTCTGCCATAAGCTGTCCTTCCCGATTTTCTCCATCCACTGCACCAGTTCTTCTCACCGGTCAAGTTAATGAAGCTCTATGGTATCCAGATACTGGTGCCTCTGCTCATATGATTTCTTCTGAAGGTATTTTGACAAATAAATCTATTTATTCTAGTCCAACTATTGTTAGTGTTGCTAATGGTGATCAACTTCCTATAAAACATGTTGGTGATATTTTTCTAAATTCCTCTGGCCGGCCACTACTATTAAAATCTGTTTATCATGTGCAAACGATATGGAATTCCGAGAGCTGTTTGTTCGGGTCTTCTCCTCTTAGCCCGTGGGAGGAAGTAGATGAATAAGCCCCGATTTGAGCTCAAAAGTATTACAGTCATTGAGTGTAGGAAACGTAAACACAATGGTTGAGATTTGGAGCTGTTAGCTCCCTCAATGTTCTCGTCTCTTGAGCCATAATGATTGAGTCTTCGTTCTCGCTAGAATAAGAACTAGCACTTGATGATTCCTTCGAAGAAGTATTCGGAAATAAATTCCTAAACCTCTCGAAGGCTTGTTCTGTTTCGGGATTTGTTTGGTAGGTAATTTGGTTTATAGATCGGTGTTTAATCATATACTCAAACAAAGCTCAGAAGAATATAATTCTTTATATTTAAGTAATATATTTTTTTCTTTTTTTTCTTAAAATAAAATAAAAAGAAAAATTAATTGCCTTTCACCGGCAACGACGCCAAATTTGACGAGCACTTCATCGTAGTGCGTCAAAATAATTCGATACTAACACTTATACGTAATATAGGTGAAGTAGAGTTTGTATCCACATGGAAGAAATAATTCTCTTTTCATAAAACTAGTAAATAAAAAGGGGGGTTTTGGGAATGTTGGAATTTAATAAAATTAAACACCAAGATGAACAACTTATATGTGATATAATTCAAAGATAAAAAAAAGACTTGGTCTTGCTACTTTCCACTTGTCGATATATTTTAGTCGATCATTGTTATATCTATAACTTATCCCCTCGCGAATACTCAATCGAGGAGTATATCCAATTCATCGAGGTTAGTTATTAACAACGACCATTCATTAATAACTCTTACTATTAATCAAATATAGAACAACGCCGTATCCCGATTTAATATTAGCATTTAATCTCTTAACTCCTTGATGAAATTAATTGAGATTGATAACCTCAACACAATGGTTTCAGTTTAACCAACAAAATTAATCCCTCTTAAGTTTATTAACCATGACCGTGTATTAATAAACTGAAGTTACTTACTTGTGAAACCATCAACGATTAACTATCGGTTCGTTTATGATTTCTAATAGTAATTAATGTCGAGATGTTAACGAATTGTCATCTTAGCAACACTACCCAACATTAATATATAGATAGACTAAGGGAAGAATTAATATTCAAGGGAAGAAGTTAAGAAAATAACTCACAACTTTAATAATCAACAAGTTTCAAGAGCAACACCAACAAATGGAAGTTTAGCTCCTCATTTGGAGACTAAACATGCTATAAAAATATAAAAGAAATACTATTCTAAACTGAGTTTAAGAGTGTGGAAGAAAGAGTTAGTATTTGGGAAGGAAAAGTGTGCTATTTATAAGTGTTTTTCAACACCTTGGGCTGGGTACCCGACCGGGTTTGGTACCCACCCAACCGGGTCCGGTCAAATTCAGATATCCTACACGTTCTGGTGATCTTCAGCACGTCGTTTTGTCCCGGGTCAAGTCAGACCCGACCGGGTCAAGTAGAGGACCCGACCAGGTCTAGTAGTTTCCTGTGATGCTTCGATTTTTAAATCAGACCCAACCGGGCCAAGTGTTCTACCCGGTCGGGTAGTTGCTCTTGGACAGTCAAAACTCCATTTTCTTCACTTCAAAGTCATCCTTTTCAACGCCACAAATCCTAACTATACTTTACAACTTATAAATGAAAACTAAAATACAATTACAACTAAATTCACACAAATGTTTACAAACTAAATAAAACGGTAAACAACCCACACAAATCAAACATAAAAACATACATTTATGCACTATTAATTAGTGCATATCAAAAGGCAAACAGGAGACTAAAATATACCGAGTACAAAATGGGCCATGTGGGCACTCGGTTAGTCTAGCCCAAAGAAATTTTATCAATTTCAACTGTTTCAGCCTATTCATTTCATTTCGGTGTTACCAAATAGACGCTAAACATATTATCATCTATAGTCACCATATAAAAAATTAATAATGACTATTACAATCACTATTATAAGTACAAAAGTATACAAAAGTCACATTTTTAGTATAGCCGCACCTGTGATAAGTTAAACAACCTAAAGTGAGTTAGTTGGTATTTCTTCCCAAAGTAACCCCAGCCCCAAAACCCTTTCTTTCAGTCCAACAACTAACTCACACTCCAAATATACAATTTTTACTTTATTAATTCCCATGTCGGTCAAACTTGACAAAGTTTTAGAAGAGAGAATATTAAAATTGATTCGTGTAGAATAGATAGGGAGGACTAAAGCCAAGCCCTATTTTAAAAGAAAATTGATCAAAAGGCAAACAAGTGACTAAAATATACAGAGTACAAAATGGGCCATGTGGGCACAAAATTAGTCTAGCCCAAAGGAATTTTCACTTGCTGTGACATCTTCTATTATACAAAGCCAAAAGAAAAAATGAACAGTGTTCCCGCCCAAATGCAATGCACTATTGGGTCGGGTCGGGTCGGTTTTACAAAGGTGTGAAACGGGTCATGTGGCTGGCCCAATGTTGTTTTTAATGTTGACACAATATTCAATATTTCAGCTGTGTGGCTCAAGACAATGCATATAATGTTATCTTTGAAAGTCTTAATGAGTACACTTTTCTCTCTCTTCCAGCTCGATGATTGTTCACTTCTTTGGCCCATGATTGTTTGGCATTAAATGCATGCCCAATACCCAAGAAAGCATTGTGAGGCTCAATAAAAAAGAACACCAAACAAGGTTGCACGAATTTCAATGGCAAAAGAGGACCAAATTTAAAATAAAAAATGGGCCGCAGTCATTTCGAATCAATGGAGTTGTACTACAAAATCTTTAGTAAAGATTTTTTTTTAATAGACCATTAGTTAAAAACCAGTTTGTTTTGAGAAGGTACTCCAATCTGCCCATATAAATACCCTCATTATGGGTTGCTAACCACACCACCAGCAAGCCACACATTTCATCTCAAAACAACTTCATAGCAGCCTGGCAGTCAATAGAGCAAGGTGTCATCGATGATGAACAGGTATAACATTTCCCAAAAACTGTTTCAAGCTAATATGTAAATGCAGCTTAATGTGCAGGCCTGATAATGTTTATCTATGTTTAACAATTATATTTAAATATATTTATAGGGATGGCTGATCTATGCTACAGTGAAAATGCCACAGGTTTGCATTTTTTGATGATTACGTATTTTTTATAAGAACCCAATTAAAGCTATGAATGCCACAACTACATCTACAATAGGGGGTTAATTTGAAACTATGGTGCAAAACACTAATGCATTGTTAACTTTTTACAACATGTTTCTACCAAGCCAAAAACTAATTTATAATGGATCATTTTGTGCTTTGATAACTATGACAGTGGTGGGGAGAAAATACAAGTGTTTTTCAAGGCTAAGCAGGTATATCATTGGAATAAGTATTTCATTGGAATGTTTAAAACCTTTTCTAAACTAGCGAGGCAATTTTTTATGCAGGTTTTGTATTTTCAAAAAAAAAAAAAACAGGAAAAGACATTAATGCCATATATAGCATCCAAAGCAATGGGTTTAATTGAAGCTAAAGTTCTAAAAATTACTTCTTTAAGTTTAGATATTACTTCATAAAGTGTAATAATAAGTAAATTTTTTTTATATACTATTGCCTTAAACAACTATGCAAATGCAATTTATAAATTGACCATTATAAGAATTTTGAAAAATACAATGCTAATTATAAAACAATAAAAGAAAGCAAATTTGAAATTGACTATACACTCACCAATGCTGTGAAATTGAATATACACTCATGACTCACCAATGCTTTGGTTAAAGGCATGTATATTGACTAGCAACAATTCTAAGTTCTTCATAAGCATTTACTTTTAGTATTTTGATTCTTTGAAAGGGCAAAAGTTTAAATTCTTTAAAATAATTAATTTTACTTCTTTTTTTATACAAAAATCAATAAAGATGTGTTATAAATCACTTCCCCCTGTAGAAAAAATAATTTAGAAAAATAGTTCAGAACTTCTTAAAATACATATCAATAGTATATTTATTATATACCTGGCCATCTCGCTGTGCACATCAAGGAGTGGAGGACCCTGCATTCATATTCTAAGCTTATAATTAACTACTACATCACTTATGAATATTAAGTACATGAGCACCTTAATAAGGCCCTTGAAACTTAAGGATTACATTTTTTTATGCAATTCTAACAAAAATGCTATTAGAATCCTAAAGTCGGCCCTATATCATAAAAGGAATAACAAATGAGTATGACAATATGGCATTAATAATACACACTACTTAACTTAGAAAAGTAAGTACTTTCTTGATATATACAAATTTATGCTTATATATACATCTAATAAAGTATTACTTTCGCAAGAAAACTAGAACTACCAGGTCCAAGCTTCAAGTTAGAAATAAAGTATGTTATAAAATATATCCCAACTCCAATGAGGATGTGTGTAGGTGTATGCATGTTTTGGGTAAGAAATAATTTTATATATATATAAGAGAAGCAATGGAATAGAGCCAGAATAATTATCATACGTTATAAAATAATTTACTCCAAACTTTCAAAAATCAGTTATACAAGACAAGCAATGGAATAATTTTAAAAATAGAAATATACTCAAAACATCTGGAGAGTGAACACAACATCTGTTTTCGGTTTAAAAAAATTAAAAGCCCTTTATTTTAAAATTTGTGAGAGTATTACAGGATGTATCACTTACAAGAAATTTGTTGGTTTTTGTCTATCTTAAAACAAAAATAAAAGACGTATATATATCTGATATCATGAAAGATACGTACCTCAAAATGAAAATTCTAGATATATTTCTTCTTCCATCACCAATTTATTTTATGTTTACAAAAAACAAGAGATTTATACATGAACCACTCGATTAAAAAAATAAGAAATTTTGTTAATCCACCCCTTAAAAAATCAGAAATATTGATAATACTCAAAGATCAATGTAACAAAAAAAAACAAATTTTATACATGCAAGAAGGAAAAATTGATAGTAATAATCCTAACTATTGGCGGTCCGCTCATAATAATCCCAACTATCGATTATTTCAGAATAATCCTAACTTCAGGGACCTTCCGCCAATAATGGTCCGACGTAACCGACTATAAATAAATTCCTATAGTTTCTAAAGTGGATGGGAAGAGATATAGCATGTAATAGCAGGTAATATCCGGTCATGGACCATTATTGGCGGACGGTCCACTATACAAAAATAGTCAATAGTTGGGATTGTTGTTAGCGGATCAGCAATAGTTGAGATTATTAATTTCAATTTTTCCTAATCTAATTGTAAAAGGCCATTGTGCTGTTTTTGCCTTCTATTGACACATGCAATTGTTTATGATGTGTATTGACACATTTGGTTAATTTTGGATGCTTATGGCAGATATGTTTTGTAACATTTGGCTATGGTTATGTAAATGTAGAAGGCCTTGGGGTCGTTTTTGTTCAGTTGCTTTTTTGTAAGAGTTGTTGGTTGTGTTCTAGTCAAAACCTTGTTTTAAACCTTGTTTTAACTCAGTTCTTAACAGTAGGTATTCTTCGATCATTAACAGTTTCTCAATGCCAATGCTCTTAACTTCATAAGTCAACCCAACCAAATACATGAAATCCATGTTAATCAATCCAACCAAATACATTAGCATAACAAATGACAATAATTGACACATACATGAAGTCAGCTCTTAACAAATGACCATACTTGACACATACTTTAACAAACAAAACAAAACAAAATAAACGACTTCTTCATTCAGTCATTACATCGAACACCTACTAACATTGTAAACCTACAATAATTTCGTAGCCATTATTGTAACAACAATACCCAACAATCAAATCATCTTCATCTTCAAACTGGAATTGTCAGTCTTAGCAATTGCCACTAGGATTTCGCCATTTTGTTTCTTCAACTCAGCAATCCCACGCAAGCAAGAGTTAATTGCAGTCTGGAATTCCAACTGCTTAACCTTCAAATCTTCCTCAACCCTTGCAATCTTGTCAAACAGACATTCTATGGTGTCATGGGGCATTCTGCAAGCGCTATCATCAACCCACTCAACAAAATTACATTTTCAGCCCCACCTGCAAAATATTGACCGCAACCATGAAATTGTTTCCCTTTGTTCTTCTCCATAGTAGCTGTTCAGATTGGAGCTTGGATACCACAGTCGCTCCTCGTAATCCATTCACTTCGTCCGTCCGTCCTCCTAGTGTTTGCACTGGAGTTGGATTTGGAATAACTCATTCTAAGATTTGCTCCAGCCCTGCCATTCCTCTTATTAAACATACTGCCTAAACATATTTAATGACTAAAGTCAATGGTTTTTAATGGCCTGGCCATATCACACCCCATGCGGAACCCAATTGGATGATAAAAATGTCCACGTCAGCCTTTATTAACGGCCAATGGGCAGACCCCCGTGGAGTTAACGGAAATAAATCACAAATATTAGTTTGGGAAAAGGTGAAACGCATGACCCTCCCCGCAAATGAACTCAACCACAGGTAGGTTATCCGTACTTTTCCCTAAATTAAAACAACAAATTCACTGCATTCGCTGAAGAAGACTAGTGTTTCATGAGACCAAAAGTTAGGAAAAAAGGATGACAAAGTATTTGTTAACGGTTCGTGATAACCGCTTTCGCGGCGTTGTAGTAAAACGGAGTCTAACCTTTCGGTTTTCCCCGAGTATCGTGTCTCTGAGGAGTGGCGGAGGGAAGTGTTGGTTTCAATATCGGTCACCGGTTAGTACGAGTCATTGCAAGCTTTCTCAAACGATTAGATTGTGATAATGATTAACCAAATAAAAATAAACAATAAAAGTAATAACTGTGAATTTAATTAAATGGCATTAATTAGTGAACTAAAACTAGTGAACATGCAAAATAAATTGAGAGAGAAATTTAACTAATTAAAATATTAAACTAGCAAACATGTGGATGAGTATAGTTTCGAAAATAAAATACTAAAAAGTAAATTAAATGTGACTAGTAACAATAAATTAACTAATTAAAAGTGGGGTTTAGATTTGAAATTAATTAAGGATCTTGGATGTCTTAAATTATGAACAAAAATGGGATCATTTCTCCAATCTAAAAATAGTGACATTAATTCTCATAGACAAGAATTTAAATTTAATTCCCCTAACATGTCCTATTTCTAGGCTTAGTTTAGGGTGTATGAGATGTGAGCTAAATTAATTCTACACTCATAGACAAGGAAGAATTAATTTTCCAAACATTCACAAGTGAAGTGATCAATTTCACAAATTACTCATTCAATTTCATCTCAAACAATTAGTCCTAAAAATTGGAGAAAATTCCTAAATTTAATTCAATATTTAAGAACACCCATTAACCTTAATTCTATCCAAATCTAAACCCCATGGAAATTTAGCCTAACATGCTCATCAAAAGACTAACACAATTAATAATTAAAAACAATGACATAATCCATGCATTTAATTAAAACTGAAATTCGAACTAGTAATCAGTAATTCAAGAGTGAACAGGAAGATATTGAAACTAATACTTAATTCAAGAACAAGTTCATAAGCTTATTTAACTATGATTATAAGAAAGAAATCTAACATAAAACATTAAAGATAGAAATTGAAATAGAAAGATTGACAAAAGATTAACCGAATGTTGGTGTTACACTGTTACAGAAAGCTGCTCTTTTTCCTGGGTTCTCTGCCGACTGCCGCTGTTATGGTTTTAGATCTTCCGGCCAGCTGCTCTGCCCTTGCCCTGCGACCAATAGCTCATTCTCCCCAGCAGATCCTCCGAGCAGTGGGCTGACTATCCCATCTGCGTTACTTTTCTACTTGCGGCGGAGTTTTTTTTGTGGCTGGTTGCTCTCACTATTTTATCTTCCTTTTTTCTTTGGTTGTTGCTGATCCAGAGTGACTGAAGCTGCCCCCTCATTTCCGTTTTTGTTCTTTTGTTTGACATAACCCGCAGCCATGTGCTGCTGCAGTGCTATTGATGTCAATCCCCTCTTTCTTTTGGGTGTTTTGTTGGCTGTCAAGCCTTGTTTCTTTCTTTTTGTTTTCTTTTCATTTTCTTTATTTTTGTTTTCTTTTATTTGCTGTTTTTTTTGTAACGCAGCCTTGCTGCAATTTTTGTGGGTTTTGCCTTTTTTTTAATAGTTTTTTTCATTAATTCAATTGTTAAAATATTAATAGAAAGCTAAAATTTGACAAATCACAAAATATAGATAACACAAATAAGAAGAAAAAAAGGCATAAAATCAATCCAACACTTGAATTAAACACAAATCACTCAAAAATGTAAATTTTAACACTAATTTTAAACATTAACCAAAATGCAACAAAAACGCAGAAAAGTGTATCAATTTCCCCTGGTTTTAACAAGAAACGCTATAAAAAGTGAGTGAAAATATATGAACAAATCAAACTTATCAATCTCCTCACACTTAAGCGTTGCTTGCCCTCAAGCAACAAAACTACTCTCAAACACATTTTCAAGGCAAACTGTATGTAGTGTATAACTCAAGGGCTCAAGATTACTTGGATTCAATCATTAATAGACTAAGATTCAATCTACCTAACTATACTTCCATGAAAGCACCATAATAACTCAACTTTTATGTCACAACATACTAAAAAAAATCCGTTAATGCTAGCATATATGCAAAAATAGCTACTAAGTAGTTATGAGCACAAGTCAACATTCACATTCAGAAACCCTCAGTCATCCTTAACTAGTCATGGAATACAAACAAGCTCCAGTTCTAAAAACGGTTTTAGCTCCCCTAGCATTTTTTTTTGTTGTTTTTTTTTTTGGAGAATGATCTTGGGGAGCTATAAACAAAGCCAAGTTGGTATGAATTTTATGGTTAAACTAAATCATTGATTTGTGGGGCTATCTCATAAAATATATAAAATATACTCAACTCTCGCAGAATACGATAATGAGAAGAGCAGCGCCCCTTCTCGGAGATGAGACTCCCAACGAAGACACTTCTCAAATCAATAATCAAGTACAACCAGAATAGCGAGAGATATTCTATCAAATGCTAAAAGCAGAGCCTCATTCGAGGATAGAATTCTCCCTAATCCAAAGAATTTAAATTTTAAGCTAACCAAGGAGCATTGTATATATCCATGAAAAGAAAGTAAGACCGAACAACCATTCAAACCAAAAATCCAAACTTGTGCACACAACTTCAAAGTAGAAATCAAGCATATCTCCTAATATTTAAATATTTTTTTAAAGTATAATGGTAATAAAAAGAATAGTTATAACAAAACTTTCAAAAAAAAATAGTTAAAGTAGATTACACCTTAGCTTATTTATCGATCTTAACTTAGTTCACCTGAGCCTCTTGTCATGCACACTAGTTCAATCCATTGCCCTATTCCAAACCCTCCTCACACTTGAGAATAGACCTCGTCCTCGAGGTCTCAAAATAAAATCAAAATAAAACAGGGCAAATCTGCATTTTTTTTCAAACATACCCTCCTCACACTTAAGATGAATCACATATAAACACACATGGAGGGAAATAATTAACAGAGAAAAGAAGTACTCCCCTTGTGCTCAATATTGAAGAAGATGAAAGAGCAAGCACAAATCAAATTTTAATCCAATCGGGGAACTCCTGTAGTTAACCTGAAAAAGCTAAAGAAAATAAAATATGAATTAAAACTAACACACAAACAAGAAAAAATACTTTTTTTTTTTGGTTTTTCATTGCATTTTTTTTAATTAATTTTTTTATTTATTTTTTGCAGATTTTTTAAACCTCCTTTTTTAACACTTGGGTTGCCTCCCAAAAGCGCTTCTTTAACGTCACTAGCTTGACGTTTTTTTCTCACTTTTTCCTTGACTTTCCAACTCTCGGATCATACAGCTTGACCCTTGGGACTCTTCTTGTGTACCACCTCTGTTTCATAAAAAACTCACAAGCAAGAACCAAGGCCTGTGCATCTTTCTCATTTTCAGGTGGCAAAATAAAACAAGGAAAGTCATCCTTATCCTCCAGTTCCTCATCAACCTCAATAGTTTCAAGCCCCGCACTAGTATCAAGTACATCAAGAAGCAAGTCTAGGACCTCCTCCACACTTGTTTCTTTCTCATTTTGTGCAGAATTTTCTTGGTCAACTTGCACATCCAAAGTCTCCAAAAGTAGATCCAGGAGAACCTCAATTTCATTGATTAACTCATGATTTTTCTTGTTCAATTCTTCACATGATGCAATCACGATTACCTCAAATTTCTCCTCTCGGTGAGATGCCTCATCAAATTCAGCAATATATGGTTTCAAAAGTTCACCATTTTGAGCTTCACTTTCGCATGAAATGTCTCCCACAACAAAATTTTCTAAAATTCGCTCAAAGGTCTCTTCACTTTTACTTTCATCATCTTCACTAAATGACTCATTTTGTAGTTTCATTGAGCTTTGTTTTTCAGTGGACATCCAACTCTCCTCTGCAGATTCTTCATTAATTATGGGTGCTTCTGTACTAGCATCCACCAAGCTTTCCTCAACTGTCACAAAATGACCCAGCTTATTGACCCGACTTGATTGTGATTTGAGATTCTTCACTTGACTTGCCAGGTTGTCAAATATTGTTGTGAGGGCAGAAATTTGATCGATGCCTTGAAGTTTAATCTCGCAAAAAGATTCTGTCTCATAGTACCAGTTCTTAGCATTTGAGACCACATTCTCCATGAGCGTTTCACTCTCTTCCGGTGTCATGTCGAGAAAACAACCCATCTTTGAATAATGGTCCAACTCTCTTTTACTTACAACTTGAAGTCCATAATAGAAATAGAACATCAAGTCATAAGCATCCATCAACTGTGCAGGACACTTTCTCCGTAGGCCTTTATATCGATCCCAAGCCTCACTCAGGGATTCCATCGGAGCCTGGCTGAAATTTTGAATAGATGCTCTGATTTTTGCAATCGTTGATGGAGGAAAATACTCATGCATAAATGCCCGGTGAAGAGCATTCCAGGTGGTGAAGTGACCTGGTGAAAAAGAATTCACCCACTGAATAGCCTTATCCCGAAGAGAGAATGGGAATAAGATAAGCTTCACGATGTCAATTGACACTTTATTGATCCGGAATGTGTTACAGATTCTGTTAAACCACAACATATGCACCATCGGATCTTCATGTTTCAAACCGCCAAATTGATTAATTGATATCACTTGTATGATATCAGGATTAATCTCAAAATCTGTGGTATCGATTGGCGGAATGATGATGCTATCTTCCTCAAAAAAGTCCAAGGTTAATGTTTCAAGCACCGTTCTCCTCTCCCTCATCATGATATTTTTTTTCAGGCCCTCTCAATGTTCTTTCAGGTCAGAGAGCAGACTGCTTGCCATGGTTGAAATAGGGAGATTTTACAAACTGATCCTGCAAACTTAAGAAAACAACACACACAAAAAACATAAAAGAAAGGAGAAAGTCTCACTAACTCGGGTTCGCCTATGCCAATAATAAAAACCAACTTACAACCGTGTCACTCCCCGGCAACGGCGCCATTTGATAACCGCTTTCGCGGCGTTGTAGTAAAACGGAGTCTAACCTTTCGGTTTTCCCCGAGTATCGTGTCTCTGAGGAGTGGCGGAGGGAAGTGTTGGTTTCAATATCGGTCACCGGTTAGTACGAGTCATTGCAAGCTTTCTCAAACGATTAGATTGTGATAATGATTAACCAAATAAAAATAAACAATAAAAGTAATAACTGTGAATTTAATTAAATGGCATTAATTAGTGAACTAAAACTAGTGAACATGCAAAATAAATTGAGAGAGAAATTTAACTAATTAAAATATTAAACTAGCAAACATGTGGATGAGTATAGTTTCGAAAATAAAATACTAAAAAGTAAATTAAATGTGACTAGTAACAATAAATTAACTAATTAAAAGTGGGGTTTAGATTTGAAATTAATTAAGGATCTTGGATGTCTTAAATTATGAACAAAAATGGGATCATTTCTCCAATCTAAAAATAGTGACATTAATTCTCATAGACAAGAATTTAAATTTAATTCCCCTAACATGTCCTATTTCTAGGCTTAGTTTAGGGTGTATGAGATGTGAGCTAAATTAATTCTACACTCATAGACAAGGAAGAATTAATTTTCCAAACATTCACAAGTGAAGTGATCAATTTCACAAATTACTCATTCAATTTCATCTCAAACAATTAGTCCTAAAAATTGGAGAAAATTCCTAAATTTAATTCAATATTTAAGAACACCCATTAACCTTAATTCTATCCAAATCTAAACCCCATGGAAATTTAGCCTAACATGCTCATCAAAAGACTAACACAATTAATAATTAAAAACAATGACATAATCCATGCATTTAATTAAAACTGAAATTCGAACTAGTAATCAGTAATTCAAGAGTGAACAGGAAGATATTGAAACTAATACTTAATTCAAGAACAAGTTCATAAGCTTATTTAACTATGATTATAAGAAAGAAATCTAACATAAAACATTAAAGATAGAAATTGAAATAGAAAGATTGACAAAAGATTAACCGAATGTTGGTGTTACACTGTTACAGAAAGCTGCTCTTTTTCCTGGGTTCTCTGCCGACTGCCGCTGTTATGGTTTTAGATCTTCCGGCCAGCTGCTCTGCCCTTGCCCTGCGACCAATAGCTCATTCTCCCCAGCAGATCCTCCGAGCAGTGGGCTGACTATCCCATCTGCGTTACTTTTCTACTTGCGGCGGAGTTTTTTTTGTGGCTGGTTGCTCTCACTATTTTATCTTCCTTTTTTCTTTGGTTGTTGCTGATCCAGAGTGACTGAAGCTGCCCCCTCATTTCCGTTTTTGTTCTTTTGTTTGACATAACCCGCAGCCATGTGCTGCTGCAGTGCTATTGATGTCAATCCCCTCTTTCTTTTGGGTGTTTTGTTGGCTGTCAAGCCTTGTTTCTTTCTTTTTGTTTTCTTTTCATTTTCTTTATTTTTGTTTTCTTTTATTTGCTGTTTTTTTTGTAACGCAGCCTTGCTGCAATTTTTGTGGGTTTTGCCTTTTTTTTAATAGTTTTTTTCATTAATTCAATTGTTAAAATATTAATAGAAAGCTAAAATTTGACAAATCACAAAATATAGATAACACAAATAAGAAGAAAAAAAGGCATAAAATCAATCCAACACTTGAATTAAACACAAATCACTCAAAAATGTAAATTTTAACACTAATTTTAAACATTAACCAAAATGCAACAAAAACGCAGAAAAGTGTATCAATTTCCCCTGGTTTTAACAAGAAACGCTATAAAAAGTGAGTGAAAATATATGAACAAATCAAACTTATCAGTTCGGTTCTCGGTTCCTGAAAAAAATATGCACCCGAAACCGTTAAGGAACCGTTATATATAATAAGTAAAATTTTATATATTTCTTATTAGTATAAATATATATATATATATATATATATATATATATACACACATACATAGATTTAGGTTCATGTGAGAACTTAATCTTAGGAGAGTAAAAAAGAACCATTTCTCACCATTAGATGTAATCTCTAACAACATTGCACGTAGGGATGACATTGGAATTTCACTTTCAATTGCATTAAATGGTAAGCTACTAACGTTGCTTTCCTTTTTTATTTCAGGATTGGATGTACCATTATTGAAATGAAATTAATGAAACTCTCTTATATATAACGTGTTTAAATTGCCCCTTAAATCAATCTTTGAGTATTTTCTAATTATATCACATTTGGGCGTAAAAATAATCATACCAGATCTTCATTTTATTTTTAATTATATTACTATTTTGATTAATTTTCTCAGTAAAATTTATTGCAACATAGAGTATGATGAGTGCATTTCATTTTCTACTGAAATTCGTGCACTAATGACAATCTTTCATTGCACACTTGTGCATACAATTTATGCTTTTGTTCCAATTCATTGCACACTTTTCATATACTCCCTCACTCCCATTTTGTAAGATATTTTTCCTATTCACTTGGTCAATACAAATCACTCTTAATCTCTCACTTTATATATCAATTTTTTATCAAATTTAATTCTGATTTTTGCAACTTTGTAAAACTTTGAATTTAGATTCTGAATATGTAATTCTATTTTTCTAAAAGTAATTTGAGTGCGAATAGGGATTTGTTTGCTTTATCGTCTGTCAAACTTCGTAAACCGTAAAGTGCATTACAACTCGGGACGGAGGGAGTACAATTTATTCCATCTTTTCATTCTTAGTTTTAGCATTTTCAATTTATGCTTTTGTATTTGTGTGAATGCATCTTTCACGTTTTTGTGATAGTTGTGCACAAATATATGAGATTAATTGCTAAATAAACACATCCATAAAAAAATGCATTTAATGAGCCAATTCGTAGGATGCTAAATTTTGAAAAAAAGTAATTAAAAAACTAACTAAAGTAACTCCTAATAATTAAATAGAAACGGATTTGCAAAATAATAGGAAAGTTTCCAAATGTGCATAACGTGGAAAAAGATTTGACCCTGTGGTTAGACATATATGCCCCTACAATCAATTTAATATTAAATTTTCCTTTGAAATCAATTTGAAGTGGGCGACAATTGAGGCATTAAGTGCTGGTCATCTTGCTTTTGTGTACATTCGATCAAAAATATTAAGGGTTAGATTTCATTCTTTTTCCCTCTCCTGGAAGCGTGTTCTCACAGGAACCCACCCCTACATACATACATACATACATACATACATACATACATACATACATACATACATACATACATACATACATACATACATACATACATACATACATACATACATACATACATACATACATACATACATACATACATACATACATATATCAGAAATGCTCAGGTCCCTCCGGAGGGACGGGAGCAGCTGTCCGAACTTCACTGTTTGGGGCGGTTCCCGGTGGAATTTTTTGATGAAATTTTTTGAGCATGTTCCTCATCAAGTGTAGTTTGTCCATACCAAATTTCAGCTCAAAATTCGACCGGAAGGCACTCAAATAAATTCTTGAAGCTAACTGCACATTCTGCGCATATATAAAGTGCAGTAAGTTTCAAGAATTTATTTGACTGCCTTCCCGGTCGAATTTTGAGCTGAAATTTGGTATGGACAAACTAGACTTGATGAGGAACATGCTCAAAAAATTTCATCGAACAATTCCACCGGGAACCGCCCCAAACAGTAAAGTTCGGACGGCTGCTCCCGTCCCTCCGGCTGGACCTGAGCAGTCCTCATATATATATATATATATATATATATATATATATATATATATATATAATGTATATTTAATTATTTATGTTTATATTACATTCACCATTTTAGACTTTTAGTTTAGTTATATAAGCATTTAAAATTATTATCCATTTTAACGGATTCTCTTGAGCTTTTTAGGAGTTAGGCCTCTAATCAGGTCCAAAAATTATTATTTGTTTTTATATTACATTCACTATTTTATTTACTAAAATTTCCAGTTTGTTATGTATTTGTATTTTAAACTCAACTTTTGAGGTTTGAAATGAAGTTCAACATATTTGTATTGTAATTTTAAACGTTGAATGTTTTTTAGCACAAATTCAATCGTGATTTGTAATTTTTTAAAGAATAGGAACCGTTTAATGGCAGTAACCGAACCGTTAAGAACGGTTCGTTTCCTTACCGGTTCTACAAAATAATTTATAAGAACCGAACCGTTCCAAGGCCTAGAAAAAGGAAAAAAGAAAAGTGAAAAAATTAAAAGCCATGTCATCAAAATTACCTGGAAACCGGCACTTTACGGGCTAAAAAGCCAATTTGACTCTTTTACATGTGTTCATGGGTTTAATTGAATGATTTTTGAGTTTGGGGACTTAATTGACTTTTTCAGTATAGTACGGGAGTTTATTTGACTCTTTTCCCTTTTCAACTACATTAATTCAGTGTTGTCTGCGGGACTCAATCTTTTTTAATTGGCTGGAACCTATTTCCTTGAAGTTGTCAAAATCCTGGGCAAATTAATATTTTCATTTAACACTAAATCAGAATTAAATCAATCATAACAACAACATCTAAGGCTGCCCGCAACCCTGGGGTGAAAAGGCCATTTTTGAGCTTTCCACCCCAAAAAATACCGCAATCCATTGTATAAGGAGGGGCGAAAGTGGGTTAGAGCAACCGTTGGGGTGGGATTTCATATGCTTATTCACGGGAAGAGACAAACTCGAATGGAGCAGCTTTCGTGCGTCAAAGGAAATGAATGGTGGGCCATAGATTAAATGTAAAATCTCATATTTGTTTAAACTTTAATAACTTTTTGATGTGTAATCAAATTTTTATAAAAAATATATCAAATTTCGTAACTTTTTACGATCTTTCATATGACATCAATATTACATATATAAAATTAAAAAAAAAAGTTTTTTAATCTAAAAATACAACCAAATTAAAAAAAAATCAAATTTATTTATTTTTACATCGAAATGTTTGTCTTTTCAAATGATAATTATTGGCATCAAAAAAATTGGACAAACAATGATGTATAATAATAAAAGTAAGGTTTTAATAAATAAAACTTTATTGAGTGAATATATTGACGGTGATGGATTGCAGTGAAAATTGAATTGACTGAATGAATACGTATAAAGTAGTGGAAAATTTGATTTATTGACGGAGCTGGGTTGCGGTTAGCCTAAAAGGTTTATAGTCACGGGAAATGCATATTCCGGCACTTGTGCCCTTCAACTTCTGACAACTCACAATACACTCCGGATTCCCGCTGCATGGGGGATGCGCCACAGGAAGACAATTCCACGGATCATTAAGATCGTAAAACGCATTTCTTTGACCATTCGCAATTGAACCTTCAAGTAGAAAATAATAACCAATTAAACCATAAAAGATCTATTGAAATTAAAATATCCTTTGACAAACAAGTTAATTTTAAAGGTAGGATATAATAGAAAGAAAGATCAACAATATAATACCAGATGCCAGAATCATCACCATAATTAAGCATAGAGTAATCATACAAGCACATGCTTTACCCCGCAAACGTTGATTAAACCCGGTCATTTTCTATTAGTTTTGTACACCATCATTGCCAGATATAAGAAGATCATCCACATATACCAACACATTGAGCTGGACATCGCCTCGAGTAAAAGTAAATAAGGAATAATCTGCATATGACTGGAGGAAGCCATAACTCTTGAGAGCAGTAACCAATTTCGCAAACCAGCATCTCGGAGCCTGTTTAAGACCATATAAGGACTTATGAAGCCGACAGACCAGGGTAGAATCACCCGTCCTGTAACCTGGAGGAATGGTCATATAAACTTCCTCATGCAAATCTCCATGAAGAAAAGCATTGTGTACATCCATCTGATGTAACTCCCAATGCTTAGCAGCAGCTATAGCAAGAAAAGCACGCACAGTTATCATTTTAGCAACTGGTGCAAATGTTTCTGTATAGTCCAGACCAGCAACCTGTCTATTTCCAAAGATAACTAGGCGAGCTTTCAAACGTTCAACGGTGCCATCTGATTTGTGTTTGACTTTATAGACCCATCGACATCCTAAGGCACGTTTGCCAGGAGGCAAAGAGACAAGACTCCAAGTGGAATTATTTTCCAGTGCGCGGATTTCATCTCGCATGGCATTACGCCACTCTTCATGTTTAACTGCTTCATGAAAAGAGCTAGGCTCCGTAATAGAGGTGAGTGCTGCCAGATAAGCCTTATGTTTTGAAGAAAATGAATCACAAGTAACATAATGAGTTATAGGGAACGGCGTACCTGAAGAGGATGATGAAGCAGGAAGAGCGGGGAATGGACTGTTGTTCACAATAGTATGCGTGATATAATCCTTGAGACGTACCGAGGGCATGCGTGTACGTTGCCCACGCCCCAAGGCGTGGTGGGAGTCCTCCTGGGCGTTATCATGTACGTCCTCCGTGGAGTGACGAGAAGTGTCACTGTCCAGTGAAGTGCTTCCTTCGTGTGACCCTCCAGGCCCCGCGTCGGTTTGTCCAGGAACCCCAAATGTGGAGACATCCGTATAATCAATAGGCAAGCTAACTGGTTGTGGTTCTTCCGATATGGGAGCAGGATCGGCCATAGGAAAAGTAGATGCAAATGGAAAAATATGTTCAAAAAATTTGACATCACGAGAAATGAAATATTCTCGAGTCTCCAAGTCAAAAACATGCCATCCTTTCTTGCCAAAAACATATCCCACAAAAATACATTTTCTGCTTCTGCTAAGAAATTTGTCACCCTTGGACCGCATGTTGTAGGCATAACATAAACAACCAAAAATACGGAGAGACTTATAGCACGGAGGTGTCCCAAATAAAATCTCGTATGGTGTTTTATAAGAGTGAAGTGCCGATGGTGTACGGTTAATCAGATAAGCCGCGGTTAATACACACTCACCCCAGAATGATATAGGCAAATTCCCTTGAAATCTCAATGCACGAGCCAAATTTAAAATGTGTCTATGCTTACGCTCAACACGCCCGTTTTGCTGAGGTGTCCCAACACATGATGTCTGAAAGACTATGCCACTGGAACGGAAGAAATCTTTCAAACAATTAAACTCCGTGCCATTATCGCTTCTTACACACACAATTTTCTTGGAAAATTGTCGTTCCACCATAGCGACAAAAGAAAGAAACATTTTAAAAACTTCCTTTTTGTCAAGCAACAGATAAATCCACACCGCACGGGAATAATCATCAACAAGCGTTAAAAATAGTTTAGCACCACATGAAGACGGGGTTTTATAGGGGCCCCACAAATCACAATGAATCATCTCAAAAATAGCATGAGTTTTATTCAAACTAGTAGGAAAAGAATCCCTAGTCTGTTTAGCTCTAAAACAAACATCACATGGAGAGCTTCCAATATCTTTCAAACCACTTACAGGAGCCAAATTCCTAACAATTTGATAGGCTGGGTGGCCCAACCTTTGATGCCACAAAACTGCCTCCTTCCCTGATTCTCTAACTGTCAAAGCATGCTCCGTTGGTTCCTCCCACAAGTAGTACAGTCCATTCCGCCGTTTACCCGTTCCAATCAGCCTCCTCGAGACACGGTCCTGTATAACACATAAATTACAAGTGAATTGGATAAAACAGTCGAGTGCATCACTCAATTGGGACACAGAGACAAGATTACATTCTAGCTTCGGAACAAACAAAACATTATTTAAATATAAATTATTCCCAAATCGCACACTCCCTTCAAGGTGAGCTAGAACTGTTTGTCCATCGGGGAGCCCAACCATGCACGGGTCAATATTTTTCAAATCACACAACAAAGACCGATTGCCACATACATGATTTGTAGCTCCTGTATCAATAATCCAAGCATTGTTATTGAACTTACCGGCCATACGATCATTAGTAGAGTGTGTGTTACCGAGCATGGAGAGCAAGGAAGCCCACTGTTCGGACGTGAAACCCGGAAGTGGAGTGTTCAGTTTGGTCTTGTTATCACCAGCATTCTGCCCCTGCTTCGCCGCAGCATCAGCGGCCACCGTTGCATGGGCTTTGTTAATTTGTTTTCCACGAGATGTTCCAGAATTCCCCGTGAGTCCGGAAATGCTCGCACGTCCACGACCTCCCCCTTTAATTCCGAGACGCGGTCTATCTCCCCACCAATCGGGATAGCCGTGAAGTTCGAAGCAACTAGTTATCTCATGTCCCGTAAATTTGCAATAAGAACAAACCAATCCGGATTTATCCGGCTTCGCCCCGCGGCCTGCACTTTTTCCTTCCGCCTTAAGAGCAAATCCCAACACTTCTGGTCGTTCTTCCTGAGCCTGGACAATTCCCCGGACACGCTCTTCTTGTGTCATTTGTTGGTACGCCCGATTCAAGGTCGGGAGTTCAGGTTGCGTCAATAATTGTGACCGAACACCACCAAAATAATCTGTGTAAAGACCCATTAAAAACTGGTGCAGACGTTCAGATTCTCGTCTCTTTTCATGTTGTTTGAGTACATCACAAGTGCAATTGTTACACTTGCATGCAATCAACGGCTCGTAATTGTTTAATTCCTCCCATAAGTTCTGCAATTTAGCATAATAGGTTCCAATGTCCATCCCTTTTGATTGAACACACCTAGCCAAATCTGTCTTGACTTGGTGAATTTTCGGACCATCTACTGATCCAAACCTTTCCTTCAGATCATTCCAGAGGCGTCGTGCATCTTCGTAGTTTGACAGCGTTGCCTTCACCTCCGGCGAAATTATATTCAAGAGCCAGGAAACAACCATGGAGTGGTTTGTAAGCCAGTCCTCCTCGGTATAAGGAGGCTTTGGTTTCGTCAGAGTCCCGTCTACGAGAACAAACTTCCTTCTTGCCCGGAGCGCTAACTTCACGGCATTAGACCATTCTTCATAAGTTTTATTCGTGAGTCGAACAGAAGTGATAAAATCACCCGGTCTATCTTGAGGTCCCAAGAATAGCGCGAAGTGTAATCCATCTTCGCAGCCGGTGTTGCTCCATCTTCCGTCGTCATCTTTGTAGGAGTCACGCAGCAGGTCAGCGTGCTTTCTCTGATACCATATTAGTTTTGTATGATATGCAGATATGAAGAATAATATTTAGGAGAAGCAAATTTTCTTATTCAGCCAAAGTCCCAATCGGTCAATATAAATACTAAGAGAGCCGATCAAAACGGATCGGTAATACGCATATATGGGAAGAAGTATAATGGAAATAATCTTCTACTAAAAAAAGAATACTATCCCTAAATAAATACGCTAATATTTTCAACCCTCTAACTTTCCCTATTGTGCTTCTTACTCTATTGGATTTACGTCTAATAGTAGTGATCGACAAATGTACGTATATATATACACACATACTACGTAAATGTGTTTGCATCATATATTCTATTCCATTATATTTATTCTATTACCTTATTCTATTTATTCCATTCTATTTATTCTACGAGTGGTCATGACTCATGATTGATTTTGTTTCCTTTCAGATGTTGTTTATAATAATAACACAAACTAGAGACGCCTGATGATTAAATTACTTCAGACGCCTCATGATTGATTAAGTAACATTAGTAAAACTAAAGGCGTTTGATGAGTAACTTTTCTTTCCTTTAATATCTGATCTTGCTTATCATAATTTTTCCAAATATTAATAAAAGAATAATACCGGAAATAGGACTAAAAAGATATGAAAATTCCAAAATAGGATTGCCATATTTTTATTACCAAAATAGGACTAATTACTGACATGTTTTGGCAGTACCAGACTTCAAACATGACAATATTTTCCAAACTTGACAGTAATTACTCCTATTTTGGGAACAAAAAACATGGCAATCCTATTTTGGAATTTTCAAACTGTTTTAGTCCTATTTCGGGAACTTTCCCTATTAACAATAGGGAAATTTATTAGGATATGACTAAAACTCAATGAGTTTCTTAATCTATGACCTAACTAGTTTTTATACCTTTGTATGACCAAAAATCCAAAAACAAATAGAAAATTCATTTATATTTAATTGTTGAATGACGAAAATACCCTTATTCAAAATATGTGCATTTTGCACTAATTTCGTCCAATTAAAATTACTGCACTTTATATTGCCGTTTGTGACACCTCAAAAAAAAAAAAATGAAAATAAAACAAATAATTTTATTTGTGAGACAAAATGATATGACATTGACATTTTTAATGATTAAGTGAAACAAATAAACTTTTAACGTTTGCGATATTTTTTAGCCAGATAAAAATGTTTCAATAATAGAAGTGACATTTAATGATGATTATGAAAGTAACTTTTTATAAGAGTTGATACTAGTACATCTGACATTAAATTATAAAAGTAACATTTAATAATAATAATAAGGGAAACACTACTCCGTATGAGTATAAATAAAACTAATACGAAGTGATGATAACTATAAGCTAATTAAACCTGCGGTAAAGATAAATCAAAGCTACATATAGATAGGGACTAATATACAAGCTAAAATCGTCTACATTCAGTAGCGTTGCTAATCACGCTATGCTCCTGCGATAAGTCATGCATGCGAAACGCTCGGTGCGAACAAAAATGTTAGGAAGTTAATGCAAAAGATATTTTTAACGTATAACTCGAGGTATGGAAACACCCATGCATAGCATTAAACTATAATAAGGAAACTTAATAATTGGAATTTAAGGCCAAAGATTCTTTCCCAGCGTTACTACTAGCCTATGACCCTCGGTTTCGACCCATAAATAGCATCCAAACCTGCGTTTACTACCACGCCCAAAGTGATTGGCGTACGTTTACACACAACAAAACTTCTACCTTTCGTTTTACCCGAAACCAGACCTTAAAACCATTCTTAAAACCTTCTGTCAAGTGAGAGGAAGCCAACGAATCATGAAACGTTAAAAACGATCGCCGGAGGACGGAGAAACCATTGGCCGGAGTTCCGCCGGGCAGGATGTAACATCGGAGATCGGAGGAGCAGAAAAAGCCGCCGCCGATCCACTGCTGACAGCCACCGTCTTCGAACAAAGACGCTACCACCTCTGTTCCACGCTTCCGTCGAGGTAAGCTGTATTTTCTTTCCGCCGTCCCTGTGTTTGAACGAAGAAGAAGACGATCGTCACTCACCTGCTATTTTATCAAAATAATGGACTGGACTGTTTTAATTAAAATTGGGGCTGAACAAAAATCTGAGGTATTGAGTTACTAATAAATTAATAATAATAATCTACTGGGCCATATAAATTAGTAGACGATTAGGCCGTATTCATGAAGTTGGACAATTCTGTTATGGTTTTATGAATATAAGTATAAAGATCTAATTATATAACTCGATTATAGTAAATCATTAATTGTGAAATGTTGGTGTAAGCGGATTAATAAGTGGAATAATGGGAGAATTGGATAAATTCACATTTTGTGGAATAATCAGTAAAATTGGATCAACTATTATTAATTAGTAAAGTTGATTAACGGAAATATATTAAGAGTTGGAGTCGTATAAAATAATGGGCTAATTATGAAATTGTAATTAAAGGTGATTACTTAGAGACAGTATTAGAAGACATGAACTAAGAGCGTCATCAATTTTGAGGTAAGTTTCTCTGCCAATCCAAAATCGTTTCCTCGTATTATATGCTTATTATGCATTATGTGATTAAGTGTGAATTGTGAATTATGAGTATGTGATTTTGAAGAATACAAATTAAGAGTACTTTTTGGGGTATTAAATATTTTTAAATACCTTCGAGACTTTTTAAAGAGATTGAGAAATATTTTTGAAGCATATTTTAATTAAAGATAAAATGTACGTTTTCATAAGAAGTGAGCACCCGGGAGGAATCCGTGGTGTCGGTTTTCCACATCCGGATAAATGTGGAGGGTGATTAGGGCTGCTACTACTAAGAAGTATAGTTTAAATTTTAAGTGACATTTGGATCTATGATCCCTTTTAAGAAGAAGTTATAGTAGTAGCCCCTAATCATTCAGAGATATCTTATTCAGGGGTAGTTGGTAGACTGAGTCCCGATTACTCGTGACGACTTACTACTCGGAGGGCTTGGAATCCCTTTTTGGGGGTGTGCACACTTAAGGTAGTCGTTTCGTTTCCGCAAGAGCAGTTGTGGTACCGGCACTTGTTCGGGGTGGCCGTCCGTAACCACGGTCCACCGGGCTCAGTCGAAAGGTTGAGCACCGCCCTTCTAAATTACTAGGAAGTTAGAGAAGAAGTGATTTTTGATAAAGAAGAAGAGAATTTTTATGGAGTGTGTTATTTTTATATAGTATTATATAAAAATCAATTTTAGCCAAACCTGATTATTTTACGGGGTTGGGTAGTACTTACTTAGCTCTAAAGCTAATTTTTGTTTTCTTTCCTTGTTTTGTTTCTGCACTTTATTTGTGCAGGTGATGGTGATTATGTTGATTGTTGATTGCATAAGTCCGAGAGCGTACTAGAAGATACCTTAGTTAAACCTAGTCGAGATTAAATACTTTACTCATGTTTTGAACACTTGTTTTGGTTTGTTTCGTTTGGGATTGCCTGTGCACTCGGCTGTGTGTGGCCGGGTGTGGCGGTAACACTCCATTTCCCTTTTTTTTGTTAATTTCGCTGCAAACTTATTTCCAATTCGAATAAATAAATGACATTTTATCTCTTTTAAATGTATTTTCGGGTGGGAAATTTGGGGGTGTTACAAATTGGTATCAGAGACTCAGGTTGTTTTCTTGGAGATTTTTTTTCAAAGTGGTTTTCCAAAAAGTTTTCTAAATAAAATTTCAAAAAAAAAAAAAAGAAAAAAATAGGAAAAAGAAAATGATTAGGAAAAGACGTATTAGGAACGAGGTGAGGATTGTGAGACTTTAAAGTTATTGATCTGTATGATTGAGTTGTGAAATTCAGGGAGCTACTTGCTTGTGTGTGATATATGAGGTTTGATAACATCTTTGGATGTATATGTGATAGAATTTAGATGTGGACTTAGTTAAAGATTCATGTATTTCATATAGCCGAGAAGCCTTTGAATGCTTTAGTACTTATGAAGACTTGTAAGACTAGAATTGAATAAGACTAGAAGTAAGCAGTAAAATTCATGAAAGTTAAGGTCATACCGTTTCATCTAAAATGTCAATTGGGAGAGGAGGATGTTAAGCACAAACGTTACCCTAAGTTGTTTTGTTAAGGTAAGATTCTAGTTACGGGGCCGTAACCTCTCTTTTAGGGGTAGAATGTAACACTTGGTAGTTCATACTTGTGTCTTAGATTATGCTTCGGGACGAAGCATCTTTTAAGGGGGGTAGAATGTGACACCTCAAAAAAAAAAAAAATGAAAATAAAACAAATAATTTTATTTGTGAGACAAAATGATATGACATTGACATTTTTAATGATTAAGTGAAACAAATAAACTTTTAACGTTTGCGATATTTTTTAGCCAGATAAAAATGTTTCAATAATAGAAGTGACATTTAATGATGATTATGAAAGTAACTTTTTATAAGAGTTGATACTAGTACATCTGACATTAAATTATAAAAGTAACATTTAATAATAATAATAAGGGAAACACTACTCCGTATGAGTATAAATAAAACTAATACGAAGTGATGATAACTATAAGCTAATTAAACCTGCGGTAAAGATAAATCAAAGCTACATATAGATAGGGACTAATATACAAGCTAAAATCGTCTACATTCAGTAGCGTTGCTAATCACGCTATGCTCCTGCGATAAGTCATGCATGCGAAACGCTCGGTGCGAACAAAAATGTTAGGAAGTTAATGCAAAAGATATTTTTAACGTATAACTCGAGGTATGGAAACACCCATGCATAGCATTAAACTATAATAAGGAAACTTAATAATTGGAATTTAAGGCCAAAGATTCTTTCCCAGCGTTACTACTAGCCTATGACCCTCGGTTTCGACCCATAAATAGCATCCAAACCTGCGTTTACTACCACGCCCAAAGTGATTGGCGTACGTTTACACACAACAAAACTTCTACCTTTCGTTTTACCCGAAACCAGACCTTAAAACCATTCTTAAAACCTTCTGTCAAGTGAGAGGAAGCCAACGAATCATGAAACGTTAAAAACGATCGCCGGAGGACGGAGAAACCATTGGCCGGAGTTCCGCCGGGCAGGATGTAACATCGGAGATCGGAGGAGCAGAAAAAGCCGCCGCCGATCCACTGCTGACAGCCACCGTCTTCGAACAAAGACGCTACCACCTCTGTTCCACGCTTCCGTCGAGG